TGCTTGCTTTGATCAGTGTGGGGGATAGATATTAAACTGTGTCTTGCGGTACCTCTTCAGATAATAAATCATACTCTTTTAGGCTTGTGTTGTTAGGTTCTTGAGCCAGCTATGAAGGACCAATTGTAAATTTTGGCTGATGTTGTTGTTCTAGCACCATGACGAAATCAGTATCTAAAGTGACGGAAAATCATTGAATTCATATAGTAAACGTTAACAAGATTAATCGTGAAGGTATAAAGTACTGACTTCTTCATCGTCTTATTTAAGATTTATAGTGAAAACAATGTAATGTATTATGTCACCTATATTTGATAAGCCTCTAAACTAGAAATACGGGACTCTCGCGAAAATGAGATGGTCTCATCACAAGTCATCAGCCAATTTCTAAGCAGATATATCAGACGTCGATATAATACGAACTATACGAAGTATTACATGTATAAACATAGGAATCGCTGATACACGTGTAAAATTCTTCAAACGTACTTTATACAAGATGAAATGTTCGTTGCAGGTAGAGAAATATTAAAACTACGATTAAATAAACAGACTAAAAACACAGGTAAATTCCTCAACAGAGCACAGACGGCACAAATTTAGCCTGGTGTTTATTTGTTTCAGCTCTCTATGACTGATATAACATGTCCTGACCTAACAATGTAGCACCACCGAGAAAGGTAGGACAGAATCACCAGCTCAGTAATAAACCCGCTCTTCAGTTGCATTATCTGATTGACCTTGATCGAACGAGGGTGATGCGCATGCACAAATGACGTAATTCAAAATGGCGCCGAAAATGGAGACGAACAACAATAAAAAACTTGCTGAGAAGGTCACTTCCTACTGAGTATCACAAGATTCCCACGATTAGAAGTTGCATTCTCCTTACGTCGAACGCAACAAAAGACGTTTACAAATAACATCTCACGTATTTGTACTCAGATGACCGGTTTGACAGGTTTTCTTCACACGTCTCCCATGTGAAAAAATCTAAATTTTTACATAAGCCACAAAAAAAAATGAACGTGAGCCATATTTTGAGCTTAAATGAAATCACGTTTCTAGAGTAAGGTGGTCTAACCAACAGTGAAAAACATTTACTAAAAACAACTTAAAAACTCCAGGACTGAATGGCAATGAAGAACATACAGAGCTAGAGACCTAAATGTGTTTGCGAGATGGAGACTAGCCTGCGTAGCTGGCGGTATTGTGTACTAGTCGTTCATTCATTCATTCATTCATTCATTCATTCATTCATTCATTCATTCATTCATTCATTTATTCTTTATTTGCCATATATACAAAATTTTACAGTGCCAAGGTTGGAATAATGAGATTAAAGAAAAAGTAAATGGCAAGGAGACCTGAAAGTCGAGAGAGATTTGGCGGCGGAGCAGCTCCGCTGCCAAAACTTTAATCACACAATACCGCCAGCTGCTCAGGCTAGATGGAGACAACTAAATCCCTAAAACTAATAATATCCATTAAGTCATTTCCTCTGAGTAATTGAACAGTCTTTATTGCCAATTCTTTTCAAAGGTAAAAAAATCAGTTTATTAACAGATTCGCGAGACGTTTTGTTGTTAATTCCGTCGAAGATGAATTATCAAATCTGTTGTTAAAAAATTTACCATTTGATCCTTTCACAGATACTTAGGTGTAATTTTTTCTATAAGGAATGTAAAAAATTCAGTTTATTTTAGGTATATATACATATAAACAGGCATACTGAGTTGTGTTGTAAAACTCCCTTCAGATAAGGTTGCGTTAGTCACAGGAAACACGTAGGAGTAATTTTAGTCTTTCAGGGGGCCGCTGGTTTCAATTTGCTTTAGGGAGGGGGCGGGTGTATGAGGGGGTCTCTAGCTATGTTCGTTTAAGTGCATCTAGCTGTTTTTTAAAATGCTACGAGTAACAGATTTAGTGGGGCAAAGTCCATGAAAGTTATTATCGCCAAAAACCCGAAAGCAGTGTGTATTCCGCTTTTCGAGGTACAATGTATTAAATTAAATTAAATTTTATTATTCACACTATAAAATATTTACATTATATATAGTAAGGTAGGAATACACTAATAAAGGAGAAGAAGAAGGAAAAAAAAATTAATGGCTTAAGTAGAAGTGTACGGTGGACAGAGGAGCTTAGCTTTCGAGCTAACCACCGCTATATTATGACTGGAAATACATAATAAATGTGCGCTTGGTGCCATGGCAACTATGGACGATTATGCCAGCAGTCAGGTTATGTGAGACAGTCATATTACAATTGCTACCTTTGAGAGTTAACTAGAATTCCCTTATATTCTTTTTTGAACTTATGGTAGCTAAGTGTTTTTATCTTAGTAGGAATCTCTTCCCAAGTTTTGGTTATGGTAAACTTAAATATTGTGTTTGCCGTAATTTGACCTTACACGTGGTACATGAAAGTTAAGATTTGAGGCACATCTGGTATTGTATGAGTGAATATCAGACACCTTTGTGAGGCAGTTTTGAAACACTTCAGGGACAATATAAGATTCGTGTTGCTCGTTTCTGTCGTTTCTGTGTTCATTTTTAAACAAAAGGCTCTTTTGAGTGTCCATTAAAATTGTAAATACGGCAGTTAAAAAACAGAGTCACCAGATAAACTCTTATCTCTATTAGGCAAAACGTAAAACGTCATTTCTTCGTTAAAATTCACTCTTCGTCACAATTTTTCTCTTTAGACAAAAGATAATGCTCAGGCCTTTTATGAGGATCAAAACAGCAAATCTGGCAAATTTTATAACCATGATTGACGCCCGAAATTTTTTTCCGTAGCCTTACACAATATGATGAAACCGGTCATTCACAAAAAAAAGCAAAATAATCAGAGCGCAATATTTTTAACTCTTCAGGCGTTTATAAAAATTAGAAAATAGAGCTCTTTAGGGAGCATACTCTGGCAAAATAGGATTTAACTTTGTCGAATGTTTCACTTCCTTTCGTTACCACTTCTCTTAAAAAGTGTCATTCAGTACAAGAAATTTCTTCGCCAACGTTAAAAAAGTCCGTGGAAAGAAAGAGCGAGTACTTGGGGAAAATAAAAATACTGAACGCAATTGACTGTGCTGGCCCGATGAAGCCCTTTTAACACCTACGTAAATACTTAGAGTGTTCTTTTTGAAATGAAAACGAAATAATCGTTTGACAGAGTTCTATAATTTTTTTTGTTCTTTAGCCTTGTTGGGTGGCGAATGGCACCTACAGAGTCATGGACAAATAACCTTTATACAATCTCGAAATCTCGATACCACCGAGAGACATTCACATTGTCAGTTCCGAAAAGTTGTTGTTCATCACTCTGTCGTTTTCACAGCTCTTTATTTTTTGCACTTAACTTAAATTGTCAACGTATACACTGTAAAATTCCGAAAATAAGCCCTGGGGTTTATATTTTTCAAAGGCCTTTTTTGTGGAGGTTATTTTTGGAGGGGCCTTTATTGGGAGGGGCTTATATACGAAAGGAAATTTGCGTTTCAGAATCGGCTAGCTTATTCTTGGAGGGAAATTTGCGTCTCAAAATCGATTGGGCTAGCTATAGTTAGAAGGAACTAAACTCCCCTTGAGGACGTAGATCTTTCTGAAATTGAGCCATGCAAGTACTTTGTCTATATGGACCAAGGAAATCCAAGCCAAGAGTGAAGAGTGAACTACGCAAACAGCAATAAACTGTGAAACTTTTTGACTGCAATCATTTTGCACACTTAATTTATGTGTTACTGCACCGTTTTTGCTTTGTTTCATTTTGTATTTGAGGGCAATTTCGAAGTACAGGCTCTCGGGCGCTTATATTCGGAGGGTTTGTTTTGCGTTACGAGTTTGGGGGGCTTAAATTTGGAGGGGCTTATTTTCTGAATTTTACGACATTTTGAGAGCTTTTGTAGTAAGGTATCCGGACTTATATCAAAGTTAGGCAGGGTACCTTTGTCAGTATACACATCAGTTATAAAGCTCAGTGAACTGGAGTATACATCCCGTCACACACTCACCTACTGTGTGTCTCGACCGTCCTCTTCAAGCTAAGCAATCATTTTACCAAACTGCCAAGACTTTTAGCTGTTTATATAAATTTATACCATTATCTGATGATCCAAATCAGGTGGGGGAAAGCCATTATAAAGCCAGGATAATTTGCAATACAAGACGTTTTTCTTTGAGTCAGTACAGAACAAAGGCGGTGTTTATCAGGATTGCGAACAGTGATCAGTAGTTAAATTTGGCCGCTTTAATGACAACATACCCGACAATATAAAAAGACTAAAACTAAAATGGCGGCTAAGCACTTTTAAAGACTTTAATATTACATATTGCAGTTTTAGCCCTTTAAAATAAAAAAAAAAGATGAGCAAATGACAAAAAAAAAAGACTTGATGCCAATCACTATCACCGTAAGAAGTTGCACATCGTGATATTTAATATAAAAATGAGTAGATGAAATTAACTGATTTTAAATTGCTACAGGAAAATTTAACATATTTAATCAGAGACAGGCTTTTAAGTCCATTTGTTGAGTTATTTTTTAATCATAAGTTTGCACGTCACTGACATGTTTTTCCTTTTTTTACGATAATTTCACCTATTTGTAAGTAATTAAGTTTTCACCGCTGCGTGCGAACACATTTTTTAGTAGTTCCGACCTATAGCTAGTTTTCCCCTCCGTGACTTTGATTTGTATCAGCAAAACAGAGTTTGCCATATATCGCACTGTCAAAATGTAACCAGAATTTTCATTTGCTAGAAACTGAATTTATTTAACGATTTATATATCTTGTGTTAGTACTTTCATTTCAACAGTAACTTGGCTCGTCGGTATGGAATATTTCAAACGCGACTTGTACTGCCTCAGATTAAAACTGCTTTGATCACATTTCGCCAATTTCGACGGGGAAAATGGAGAATTTCGATGTGGTTGCTAGAAACGAACGCTTTTGGGCCTAGTAACAATTAATTTGGATCGCCTTAGCACCAAAAATTCGC